AGCAGCAGCAGCTGTAGTTTAAATACGGATAGCAATGGTAGCCTGCATAAAACCAAACGCCAACGAAGTACACCAAGAACAGAAATGTCCCAGTGGTTGCAGTCATACAAAAAAGAGGCTGAAGAAGCAGAGAAGCGCAGATTGGAACTGGCTGAAAGACAACACAATGAAAATAAAGAGATCCTCAATGAGTTATTAAATTTGCTGAAAAAGTAAGAAGCTTTATTAGATGTCACCAATTTAAGTACTTGTATGTGCAATTTTTGTTATCTCTTGTTATTGTGTTGTTGATACCATTGTATGTTCTAATTGTTTGAATTAACTATTCATTTTTTTTTAGAAATATCACAGTATATTGATTGTTTTTTATTTGAAATAAACTTTATTTTTTGTCAAAATAAAATGAACAATATTTTGCATCAATTGTTTTAATATATGTAAAATAAGTAAACAGTGACTGTCTAACGATGATTGCCTCTATTATTCCATAAGTAATTTATAAGCGCAGTTCTGACTGCAGTGCCTTTTGGTCGTTTCCATTATTTTCATGTTCATACATAACTGGAAAAACATGCTGTATACCTTCAGCGATATATTCTTGAATATCTTCTTCTCCTGATAATAAGCACACATTATGGATTACACAACATGCTACAATAGTATTTACAATTTTTTGTAGGTCATTCATGTCAAGTAGTTCTTTTATTCTTCGGAAACGGCCTTTTAACAATGCAAAGGCTTGCTCGATTTTAACTCTAGTTTTTGAAACACGAGTTATAATAAATTTGTGCCTCAGTTAAATGACCGTTATTTCGAAATGGGGACATTACCCATGTAAGACAAGGATATGCTGAATCAGCTAAAGTATAGTGATGTGGTGTGCATAAATGTGGACCATGTGGATATACACTGTGTCAATTTTAAAACTTGCAATCGGCAATTTCTCTCAACTGAAAAAGTTATTAATAATTACTCAAAACCGTTTTGGTGGTTCCTAGGGGGAATTAAAATGACATGATAAGTGACATACCTCTACCCACCCTTGAATATAATAAAAAAAAAATATTTAACGTCTTCGTTTTTGAATAATTGGGAAAATGACTTTACCAAATAGGCTGTTGTATGACATTTTTGAAAAGCACTTGTTATGGGCTTTCCAACGATGTATCGCAAGTAGGGTCGTGCCATTTAAAATTTTCAACTTAAGGTGGCTGTGGCTTGAAGGGTGGGTAGAGGAGCGTCATTTACCATGCCATTTTGATTCCCCCTAAAAACCACCGAAACGGTTTTGAATGATTCTCAATAACTTTTTTAGTTCTAGAGATATTGCCGATTGCAAGTTTTAAAGTTGACACCCTGTATATCTGATGTTCTAAATATTCGAGCATCATGAACACTACCTGGCCATCTACAATCCACATCTGTGAACATCAGATTGCTTGTACAAATTCCTTGGAGCACCACAGAATAAAAAAAATTTTTATTGAAATAATCTACTCCATGTGGCGTAGGTTTCTTTATAGGTATGTGGCAGCCATCAACTACATCAATTACATTAGGGACTCCAAATCGAGCGAAATTTTGAGATATAGCATTGCGTTCATTTACAGTGGGCCACTTAATGAACAATTTACATAAATGAACTAGAATCACATCAACAATCTTATGAACACACATAAACACGGTGGATTTTGTAATGTTAAATCTGTCTCCTATAGGTCGATAACATTCTGGATTTGCCAATGTCCAAAGTGCTGCAAGCAACATCTTTTCAACAGGTATTTGTGGCATTCCTCCATACAATAGTGGATCTTTTCTGTTTAGTTCAGGTGCATTTGCTATATGATTCAATATTGCTTCAAATGATGTTCTTGTTATCCTAAAGTGGCTTCGAAAAGTTGAAAAATCATAACGTGGGATAACTTCTTCAAAGAAGTACTGGCACTTTGGTATTTTTTTATTATATAGTCTGCAAATTGATACCTTGTTTAAAAATGAAAAACATTGTTTACTTACAATTTCCAAATTGCTTTAATCATGCCGACAGGCATTCTAATCTGTTGAAGTAAAATTTGATTTCTGATTTCCGCTGCATTTTGACACGTTCTGACTATAGAAATAGTAATTCCCACCTGATTTTCCATGTATGTTTATTATTAATATGTACAATTACAAATTAGGTACATATGTTTATCAAACATATGTGTGTCAAATTTACAATGAACTTAACCTCACTTTTAGGTTCCACCTTACTGACGTAATTATTACCGTTTTGTTGTATAGCTTGTTCCAAATCTGGTGGCGAACTGACGTTGTCAAAAATGACTGAATTTTGACACTAAACATATGTTTACTATTAAAAAAAATATTGTTCATAGGCGTCGTATGAAATAATATTTCAAAACCACTGTTATTTTTTAAAAAATTATAATAAGTAGGTTCTCATACATAAGATGAAGAATAATGAACAAATTATTAAATTGTTAACGCATGAAAAGAATTTTCAAAAATGATATTTCTAACAATCTTTGTCTTCAAAATTTTTAAAGAAAAAAAGTAGGCCTATGTATTTTTTTATCTTAAGCAAGTGGGCGCACTCCAATTGTCTTTTCTGTCACTGTCAGTTCGCCACCAGATATGGAATAAGCTCTACCCACAAATGCTGATCATTCTACTTCTTTCCAGGATAACATCAACAAAACGCACCCATTGTTATTTTTGTTACAAGTATAAAAAACACAGTTTTTGTTAACGAATTGTTGTTTCCGGACGATGTGAAACTGAGTCTGGAATAGCAGATGAGTCCGCAAAACGTTTTAGGTACAAAGAACATTTTTTTGTTAAAGCTCCCAAAACACGAATTCACACCTCCCTTAAATTAAAAAAATTGCGCCACCATAGTAAGCAATTTTATTTTTTAGTATGGAAAAACTGTTTTTAGGGACTGAGTACCTAAAATAACCATTTTACGTACAATTTTATTGAGTCCGGAAAAGACTCATTTTAGAGACTCAAATGAGTTCCTGTCTTCGGGAGCGTATACAAAAAACTCATTTACCAGTTTTAAAAAGTGGGTTGCCTAACTTGGGTTGCTAATCTAGTTACTTTTTGTGTTTTTAGCTTGTTATTGAAAGTGAGGTTATGTTCAGACAGCAGAATAGTTTATAGCACGCGACGTGGTCGGTTTCATTGTGTTATTGTATTGTGTATGGTTGTTCGTATGTGTAAAACTTTTATTAGATTAAAAATAAGGACTTTTGAACTATTAGTGTAATGTGTGTTGGTAGGCGGTGGCGATAATTCTTACAATATCTGGTTCCGGTAAGTTTTCAACCATTCAACCGATTTTCCGGGTAAGTGATAAATTTTTATTTGCGTTTAAATTTTCGAAGGTTTACTTTAGTTTTGTAAAAATTGTTTTGACTTCAATTCACGTCCATTTTTTCAAATATTAACCAATAAAATTGCTGATGTTAACTTTCTCATCTTCGCAACAACAAATTCAAGCGAAGATTCCATCTATATACAGGTGCGCCAGAACTCGTGTCCAAGAGAAAAATGCCATGTAAGGTAAGATATCAGGAACATGGAAAATATGTTAAAAAAATTCAATTCTATCTATTAAAATGTCGAAGTTATGAGAGTTTAAATTTTGCACTTTGACTTTATTTATTTCTGTTTGAAAAAAAAATTCCAAGTTTTTTTGCTACGGGTTACTAGTAGAGGAAGCTGTATCCTAAATTGGGTAAATTTTTTCTTAGCCACTTCTGGAATTTTTAAAAATTTTTATTTGCAATTTGCTTTAAAAAACCTCTAGATTGAAGATATCACCTTGAAAGTTTGTGCGGATGCCTCGTTTTCGAGTTAATGACCTTGATACCAAAAATTCTACATGTTTGTTTTGAATTCCGCTTTTAGAGGAAGCTGGATCCTAAATTGGGTAAATTTTTTCTTAGCCACTTCTGGAATTTTTAAAATTTTTTATTTGCAATTTGCTTTAAAAAACCTCTAGATTGAAGATATCATATCACCTTGAAAGTTTGTGCAGATGCCTCGTTTTCGAGTTAATGACCTTGATACCAAAAATTCTACATGTTTGTTTTGAATTCCGCTTTTAAAACCCTGTAGATTAAAGATATGACCTTGAAACTTTGTTCAAATGCCTCACTTCCAAAATAATGACCTTGAATGTTACAAATGTGACATTTTTTAATTTTTTTTCTTGCATTTTGCTTAAAAAAGCATCTGGTTTGAAGGTATGACCTTGAAAGTTATATTAATTGTGTTGTCATTTGGTCATACATAAAATGGGGTCGTAATTTACAGCGATAGTTTAATACATTTTACACACTAAAATTTAATAAATAATCGGTAATAAATGATATTAACTGTTTATTTGAAAACCAAAGTGTTTTCTTTTAATTTAATTTTGTAGAAAATGTCTGTCTGTTACTCTTTTGTATATTTTTTATTGAACACTTTTTCCTTAGTTACAACAACGCTAACTATTATTTATGCAAAATTCGTTTATTAAATCTGTCTGCAACATTTCTCCCCCCCAGTGTTTACACTCCTTTCAAGTCAAATACACCTTGGTTGCAGGGCGATGGTACGAACCATTTCCTGTCCGAATCCTGACCGACCGAACTTGCCCATCTTTTCCGGGAAAAACTTCCTCTACAATTCCTTTTATCCAAGTATTTCGCGGCAATTTGTCGTCAACTATAACAGCCACATCTCCAATGCTGATAGGCTTTGTCCGTACGCACCATTTTTTACGTGGAGACAAAGTGGGAAGATATTCTTTTACCCAACGATTCCAAAATTGATCTGCTAAAACCTGAGATAATTTCCACTGTTTTCTTGGACAGAACTCTGACTTTTCTAAAGGAATCTGTCTTAAAGCAGCTTTTCCTATCAAAAAATTATTTGGTGTTATAGCTTCATCGTCTTCATAATTGGTGGACACAAATGTAATTGGTCTTGAATTTACTAAATTTTCAGCCTCTATAAGTAATGTTTCCAAAACTTCTGGCTTTGGAGCCTTTTCCTTCAAAGTCGCGGCTAATGCAGTTTTAATTGAACGCACCATTCTTTCCCAAACTCCCCCCATATGAGGAGATGCTGGTGGAATAAATTTCCAGGTCATTCCTTTGTGGGCAAATCGTTCGTTTATCTTCTTTGCATCCAARACCGATATTGCTTCTTTCATTTCACGTTGTGCTCCAGTAAAGTTTGTTCCATTGTCCGACCACATAACCATAGGCACCCTTCTTCGCGCCATAAATCTTCGAATTGCCATAATTGCTGAATCCGTGGTTAGTGTATGCGCCAATTCAATATGTACCGCTCTTACATTTAAACAGGTAAACAACACGCCGTACCGCTTTTCATGTCTTCTTCCAATTGTGACGTCCATCGCACCAAAGTAATCAACACCTGTATGTGTAAATGCAGCCACTTGCGGTTCAGTTCGTTTCTTTGGTAAATCTCCCATTAAAGGAGGTTTAGCTATAATTTTCTTATTTTTGCAGAATTGACATCTATTAACTACTCCTCGTAATAGCACACGAATTTTTGGGATCCAGAAATCTTCTCTAAGACGATTTACTACCAATTCGCTTCCCTGATGATTAGCTTCTCTGTGATATTGCTCTACCAATAATCTTGTATATACGTTGTCTTTAGGTAAAATTACTTTTTTAGTTTGATCAATTCCTCTACCAGACATTCTCATAACACCATAATTGTCCAAGAACGGCGTAAGTTGAAGTAAGCTACTACTTTTTGAAATTTCTGTCAGATTTGATAAAGCTGTCATTTCCGGCCCAAAACTTTTTAACTGTACCTCTCTCCAAATAAACAACTTTGCTATCATAATTTCCTCTGCGATTAAATAATTTTCAACATTTACTTCACCCTGCAGAAAGTAATGCGTCGATTTGTGTTCTATCTTCAATAAAAATTTTCTAATTATTCTTAGAACCCAAGCTGTTGCCCTTAAAAATCTCTCATGTTTTGAGAATCTTCCAACGTCTGGTAAATTGTTGTTTGAAACCTCAATTAATTGTATTGTAGAAATAGTTTCTAAATCTTTAATTGTTGGTTGTTCTTTTTCATTTTCAATTGGCCAATTATCTTCAGTGTGTTTCAAAAATTCTGGACCTTGAAACCATCGACAATCAAAATGCAAATCGGGTGTCTTTGTCCATTTTGTTGCTTCATCGGCTACATTCTGTGCAGACGGAACCCAGCGCCAATCTGCTACTTCCGAGTTTTCAATAATTTCGCCTACACGATGAGCCACAAACGACTGAAACCTTTTTCGTTCAGCACGAATCCAAGCCAATACTGTTTTAGAATCGCTCCAAAAGTATGTTCTTGAATTTTTTTAGGAATGTTCCTTATCAATCAATTTTGCCAATCTACAACCCATGACGGCTGCTTGAAGT